GGAGGAAGAGGAGGAGGAGGTGGAGGAAGAGGAGGCAGAGTCTTTGTGCTCGGGCTCCCCTCGGTGTTTGTAGGGCGGCGACGGCGGCAGCGGCGGCGGCGGGGGCTGAGTCTTAGGGGGCTCCTTGGCGCAGCCGTCGGGGGCCGCGGGACCCCCCCTCTGCTCCGAGCACCCGCTCAAGTCCTGGGGGGGCGGCGGCGGCGGCGGCGGGGGCGGGCCGGGCCCTCCCCGCGCCGGGAACGCGCTCCCGCCTCCCACCCGGCACAAAGTTTCGCGGCAGGAACTCGGGCGGCAACAGTGCGGAGCCGGTGGCACGGGAGCGCGGCCGCGCGGAGCCCCAGCGCCCCGGTACCCGGCGGGGGCCGGCGGCGACCGTGCCATGCGGGGCCCCCCCCCACCGGCGGCGGCGGGGCGGGCGGGCAGCGGCGCCCCATGCGGCTGGGGCGGCCGGGCGGCGGCTGACACCATGTGCGCCCGGTGCCCGGGGCGAGGAGCGGGGAGCAGCCATGTCCCCCCCCGCCCAGCCGGGGGTGCCGGGCGGGCGCGGCTCTAAGGGGCCCCCGGCGCGGAAGCTCCTCTGCATGTGCAGCCTCTCCCTGTGCCTCACCTACCTGTGCTACAGCCTGATGGGGGGCACCGGCCCGGCCGCCCTGCGCTCCCCCGCCGCGCTCCCCGGCTCGGCGGCCCCCGGCGCCCCGCGCTCGCCCACCGCCTTCCCCGTCACGGCGGCCCCGCGCTCCTCCGCCAGCCCCCCGGGCAGCCCCGGCGCCCCGGCCCCCTCAGCCGCTCCGCCGCGGGCCTCCAACGGCAGCCGGGAAGGGGCGGCGGGCACCTGGCTGCGGACGCAGCTGGCCCCCGGGGAGGTGATCACGGCGCAGAGCGGAGCCTTCGAGAGGGACCCGCAGGAGTCGAGCACCACGGACGAGGAGCTGAGCCGGGCCGGCAGCCCGGGCAGCCGCGGCGGCAGCAGCAGCACCACGCCGGACTACGGGGAGAAGCGGCTGCCGCAAGCCCTCATCATCGGGGTGAAGAAGGGGGGGACGCGGGCGCTGCTGGAGGCCATCCGGGCGCACCCCGACGTGCGGGCCGTGGGCACCGAGCCCCACTTCTTCGACAGGAACTACGAGAAGGGGCTGGAGTGGTACAGGTGAGGGCGGAGGGCTGCGGGAGCGATCCGCGGCGGGGGGAGCGAGGAATGCGTGTCCGTGCGGGCCGGGGGCAGCTCCGGCGTGGTCCCGGGGGTCCCCCGTTGCCCCCGGTGGGAGCCGGGGCCAAGGCGGGACCCGCGGGGCCGGGGCGGGCGTGGACACACAGACAGGGCACTGACACAGCACTGGACACACGGACAGGGCCCTGACACAGCACTGGACACAGCACTGGACACACGGACAGGGCACTGGACACAGCACTGGTCAGTGCTGGACACACGGACAGGGCACTGGACACAGCACTGGACACACGGACAGGGCACTGGACACAGCACTGGTCAGTGCTGGACACACGGACAGGGCACTGGACACAGCACTGGTCAGTGCTGGACACACGGACAGGGCACTGGACACAGCACTGGACACACGGACAGGGCCCTGACACAGCACTGGACACAGCACTGGACACACGGACAGGGCACTGGACACAGCACTGGTCAGTGCTGGACACACGGACAGGGCACTGGACACAGCACTGGACACACAGACAGGGCACTGGACACAGCACTGGTCAGTGCTGGACAGACGGACAGGGCACTGACACAGCACTGGACACACAGACAGAGCCCTGTGGCTCCCTGGACAGAACTGGTCAGTGTCAGACGCACGGACACGATGGACACGGTGCCGCAGGTCACCGGTCAGTGCTGGACACACGGACACCAACACATGGACACAGCCCAGTGAGCTCCCGGACACAGCACTGGTCAGCGCTGGACACACGGACATGATGGACAGGGCCTGCGACTCTTTGGACATGGTGCTGGTCAGCACTGGACACACAGACCCAATGGACACACGGACACAGGGTCACTGGACACATGGACCAGGCCCTGCAGCTCTCCGGACACAGCACTGGTCAGTGCCGGCTGCATGGACCTGGTGGACACACGGACACGGCCCTGGGGATCCCTGGACACGATGGACACACGGACAGCGATGGACAGGGCCCTGCGACTCTCCGGACA